CTGCCCAACTTAACGGTTCGGTAAAATCAAAGAGGCGAAAGATACCAAAGGTAAATTCAAACTCTTAGTCGAAAATAAACTGCCAAAAACCGAAAGACAAACAACAATATACAAAAAATATAAAAAAACTGATGACTGAGCAACACAAACCCTACCAAATTTCAGGTATTCCGGAAGAGTAAGGATATCCTATTCCTCATGTGACGCCATTCAAGTGACGATTCAATTTCAAATTCAAATTCCAACATGTGAACTATTGAGGGCGAACGTGTGTATTATTAAATGGTTTAATGCATTTTAAATTCATTGACAAAAGTATGACAATTTTTTGTCTATTTAATTTATTTTGATGACTTCGTAGGAAATCAATATATTGAGCACGATACGTGTTTCTGTAACACCTCTCTTTAAATGTTTGGGGAGCCACGTATACAAAACATGTCTGAAGCCTCAATTGCTAAAACCGTCGAAAAAAATAAGGCAAATATGCATGTAGAATCGCTACTGTAGTACATTATCAGGTTTTATTGATTTGATAATTTTCTGTTAACTAACTGCTTTTATATACCGAGATATACCTATATGGAGTTATATCCTTGCAAAACGATAGGTCATTCTTTCGAAGAATCAACCGGGATGATACCAAGTTCTAATGAAATCTGCCTCAAGGCATAAAATAATGACTTTTGTAAGGTCATTATTGTTCTTGATTAAAATGCATACTACTGTTTGTTTAAACATTTAATGTGTTTGATAGTAATCGTGTGGTTTTACTATATAATTTTCCACCTTTATTAGTCCTCAAAGGTTTTAGGCAGAAATAATCTTTTCCTCCGTTTATTCGACTGTAATCCCTAAAAAAAAAACAAGCCAAATTGTATTGTATCACATTTATCATGTTTATGTATCGTATTATCAAAAATACAAAAGTATGCTATCTTGTCGATTCACACCGTATTAGAAATACATGTAGTACTTTGACCTATGGATGTCTGTTTTTCTGTGGAACAAGCATATTACGATAACAATTCTGTGCTCTTCGTGCCGTGTTTTGAATTTTAACTATTATATATACCTTTTTCTTTTACACTAACAAGTTATCAAACATTATCATTTTCTAAATACGAACAACCACGTAATTCAATTTTTGGGTGGGGTAAACTTTTTTATCCTGATTCTCAGTGTTTTAAGAAAAAGATACTATTGCAAGGCAAAATGGAGAAAATAATTATTCTGAATAATTCGTATAATTAATTTGTTTTTAATCCGCATTTCTGTGATGAAACAGGAGAAAGAACATGGCACCCTCTTTTATAAAGTTAATATAACAAGTTACTTACCAAGTGACGTATTTTCCATACACCATAAAAATTCAATTGTTTCTTGCTTCATGCATTTATAGTAACATTTTTGTATATTACAGGACAGTGATTACTGACGTTCATATCTACATTTAATGAGTATTATTTCATCTAATTTAGCCGTTGGGCGTGGTTATACCTAATCGCAATAGAAAAGAATATCCCTCTTTAACTTGATCGGTAAAATACGATACAATATCCAGCAAATCTTTGCAGAAAAACCATATTTTGTCAAGGAAAAAAACATAAAATATGCATTATCTATAACATACATAGGTCTGTTATCAATGCTCCTCAACATCGTAATGATTTGCCCTTCCAAATGTTTTGATTCTAGTGCAAGTTGTGAGATTGTTGTAGACGAGATGCGTGTACGGGGTCCTAAATTATAAACCTGGTATCCATGAGGAGTTTTTTTTCAAATTTTGGCTATATGTAATGAATTAAAACTTTCTTTTTAAAGAAGAAAACTGCGCATCCTAAAAATTTACAAACTTTTAATTCGCAGTTATAATGTGTCAAAATCTTGTTAAATCATTGGTTTTGAACACATCCAGTGATAGTCAACTCGGAACGGCAGATTGTCCACGATTCCTGGGCACATGTTCAATTGATACATTTTCGGACATACCAATTGTTTATATTACTATTTTGTGGGAAAAGATGAAAACAAATGTCTGTTACTTTATTAATGAGGAAATAAGTTTTGAATTAATGAGATACACCTTTTCGTGATGTGTTCTTTAAATTGTGTTGCATCGCATATCAATTAATAACTCACTATAGTCACGTGAGAAAATCTAGACATCACACTCTAGTGGAAGTAGAAAGAAACCATTCAGGTAACAAATTCGATCAGAAATGATACCGCTTAAAATCAATTAATTTGCTCTATCAATTAAATCAACGGTCGGAAAGAATGCACAACGCTGCAAGTGTTAATATGGCGCTACAAAGTCATATAGCGGTACGCTAGCATGTGTTGTTTATGAATCAGGACGTTGTTCAAAAAAGAATTCCAAAATTTTGAAAACATAAAGTTTGTTCAAATATCTAAATTTCACATATTTTAAATTAATGTTGAAAATATTAGCCGTGTATTGAGAAAAGCACAGTTCTTTATTATTTGTGTACTTAGTTTTCATTGACACACTAAAACCCATTATACATTGAAAATAAATAAACAGCGGTTGGTTTCCCTGTCAAACAATTCAGTGAGAGTGAATATTGTTGGAAATCAATTATTGTAAATTTAGAAAATATTACGATGTTTTTATTTATGCTATATAATGCAACAGTTATAAAAATTGAAATTCTTTATTTCACCAATCATAGAACCTTGCGGGTTTAAATTTTATACAATGATTACAATGATTATTTTCTTATGACAATACAATGATATATAATAACATACAACATAATAGAACAACGAATAGTGAGTGCATGCACATGAGAGAGAAAAGTTAATAGGGGAAACAATCAATTTATAGTTAGGATTATTTCCTTGCGTGATCCGTAGGGGTGATTTCTGAATCCATCAAAATGAACACTTAGTAACCAGCAGAATTCCACATTTTCTGCCCTTCATTCAAGTCGCCCTACCTTGCAGAATATATCTACTGTATTAAGTATTAAATTGTCATCGTCCTGATTATGCATTACATATTAATTAGTGGACGTTTAGCAAGCAACTTTCAATACCAAAGTTCTTTCCATAACCGACATTAACATATAATCCAGGAAAATCACTCAGAACGAGGTTCCTTTTTTGACAAATACATGAACATGTGAGGGGTTAAACAAGTTTTTGCGATAATGACCCCATTAATCTCGAGTAAAGGAATAACAAAACTGACGATATCAATTTAGCTAGCAGAAAAGGAGTAAACTCTACAATAGCGTTACAATAAACTTATCAGATATACCAGGATTAGAATTGTGTACGTCAAACCCTAATATTCCAAAAGGTTTTACCAAATGCGAGAACAACATAATGTTGTATAAACAGATAATTTATATTTATGATTATATCAATGTTATTCATGTCAACACAGAAGTTGACGACTGGGCTGATGATACCATTGATATGTCGATGATTAAACTACTTTTATGACGTCTAAAAATACCTCTTTTTTTAATCCGTTCATGTAGAACACCAGAGAAATAGTTCAAGTTCGTAAAAGTTCAAATTCGTAATGCTTACAAGTGTTTTAAGCATACAACAAGGGGTGTGGGGAGGGGTAGGGAATTCATATCGAAATACCTACTCAGATTACACAGAAAACCATTACATGGAATACCATTTGTCGAACCAGTGCAACACTGAGCACATCCCGAGTCGTTTACCCTATTTAATTCGTGTTGTCTTCTTCTCCCAAAACCTATTAGGTTACAAATCTGTAAACCAAAACAAAAAATATTATCGATTTTTTTTTATTTTTTTTTTTTTTTGTTAAATAACAAATGCATTTGATAGCACATAATAATATTGATAAGTGAGTGAAATAGTTTAATTACAGTCTTTATACAGCGATCTAGAACTGACAGTAGTTAAAAGCTAATTGACAATAGAATTAAAAGTTTGGAAACCACCACATTTTAGTGTAAAAAAACTTCATTATGGTCAAGTAATTTCAATTATGTAATGAAATATGAGGCATATCCGTTCATTACGATCAAATATGAGTAAAACGTAAGTGGTATTTAATTGTAATTGTCAAAAAGAGTTTTCATTACCAACATGATCGATGATTCGACCAAAAACCACAAGTCGAAAATAAACAGACAACAATATAAGGCAAAAAACAGTTCACATAATAATACACAGAAAGAAATGTTAATATTGAGAAACACAAAACCAACAGAAACGAAGTACACTCATATCCTCTTGAAGGGTACCTGTTCCCGCTCCAACAATGGTACATATCCCGCTACTCATTGGAACTAAATATTCGGTAGTTAGTCGCATGTTGTATTCGGTCATTAAACAGTCTCCGGGACAAGTTTGCACTTCCGCTGAGTGCAAAAGTTGTCACCTTAATTTTTGGAGTTAAGTCAAAATGAAGTTGATAACTCGGTTGGTATTGGTTCCCTGATATTTGTCCTAAAAAATTTTGGCTCTAGCACCACTGTTGAAAAAGTTATGCCCCTTTTTTCAACAATTTCCTCAGAGGAAAAGTAGTTTTCCTCAAGGGAAATCAAATTTCCCTGAAGGAAAAAGATTTTTCCTTAAGGGAAATTGTATTTTCCTCAAGGGAAAAAGATTTCCCTTAGGGAATTTGCTGCATTAATATTTCCTTTCAGGAAATTCTATTTCCTGTGAGGAAATTTGCGGCTTCAAATTTTCCTTTGAGGAAATACTTTTTCCTGTGAGGAAATTTGCGGCTTTAAATTTTCCTTTGAGGAAATACTTTTTCCTGTGAGGAAATTTTGTCAACAGCAATTTCCTGTGAGGAAATTTTTGACAAACACTTTTCCTTGAGGGAAAATTCAAGACCACAAATTTCCTCTAAGGAAAACATTGTTCTCCAAATTTCCTCTATGGAAATTTCTCTTATTCAATTTTCCTCTATGAAAATTTCATAACAGTAAAAACAGTATGAATATATTTTTTCCTGAGACTGAATAATTGATACAAAAGATAATTAAAACTTTAATAAAATGTTCACTGATGAGTAACATGACATACAAAAACAATAGGCTAGCTGTTTGAGACAATACAATAATAAGCAAAACGCTATGAATATCATACTATTTGTGATGTTATTAATATTGTGCTCATATTTGCGGATTAAATAAAATAACCACTTTTCATGTTAATTTAACTTTTCTGCTGCGTACAATTATTCAATCCCCTACAAAACAGTTCAGTGCATAAATAATTCCATCCACCAGACATCTTCCTTCAATTGGTAGAGAATACATTTTTGCAATTTGTTCTTCAAACATCTTCCTCTATATAGTTGATATGACAGAGCTATGTACATAAATGGAATGGAAAAAGCAGGTGTTTATTTCGACAAAAAAATACTATTTTTTCTACATTTCTCCCTAATCCTTCAGTGTAGGTTGTTGCAATTACACAATTGTGTTCTTGTGCATCTATGATTGTACTTCATATTGTTTACAGCCATTTTGTAGAAATTTCCTATTTTCTTTTTCCAGGTAAGCACACATTTCATTTCACATTAATCCAATTAGCACACAATGTAGAAAAGTATTAACCTTAAGTTTCCTCTTCTGTATTGATCTGTTGATGATCATGAAAACCAAGAAGTCTCTGCACCTATAAATACACAAAATATAAATTGAGAAAAAAACAGCAGTATGAAATAAGCTTATTTTATCATGTTTAATATAAACATTTTGAGAAACTTAAATTTGATATTCCTACTTATCATGATTATGAGTTCTGTTATTTCAGTGCTTTGTGTCCACGACTTAATATCAGTCGTTTTAGTGCCTTGCAGTGATAATGAGTTGAGCCACTTGCAACAGTTTTTACAGTTTGTTCATATGTTGTGCTATTTGAACCACTGTCCTAGATTATGGTTAGGTGGAGTGCTCACAGACATGATTTTTTTATTACTTGTTATTGGCTTTGAACTAATTTGGATTGTTTAAATCTTTTCATGTTGGGGTCTTTATTGGCTGACTTATAAGGTATGGGTTTTCTCATTATCGAAGGCCGTCATTGGTCTTTAATTGCTTGCATCCACTTCATTGAACTCTGGTGGATAGATAACTCATTTACCATACCACATCTTCTTATTTTTATAATAGTCATCATTCAAGGGCAATCACTTTTATTATATAGAAGTGGTCTTACCATTTAGGCCTTGTTGTCTTCTGTTTATCTTGTTTTGCTGATTATTTCTATTGTACAGTTGTAATTGTTTATATTTTTCTTTATCTTCTATATTTCTTGCCCTAAACTTAAAAAAGGTAAAAACTATAATTTAATGACAGTCACTATGACTATTATTATACATCAGTATGTGTTTTTCTATGTACCATGATATAAAAAAGAATGAAATATTTGTGCTATTTCATTTCACAGAATATTTGCCAGTCAACAGTTTCAAAGACATAACCACGGTCAATAGTTTAACAAACAAACATTCCTGTACTTTTTCATCGTGTTCATACTAATTTTTCAATGGACGTGATTAACTATTCTTCTATGATTTGTGTGCTTGACAACATTAAACTCTGAAATATTGTTAACAGTATAATCTGTATGTGTCTGTCGTCAAAATTTCAAATTAATATATTACTTACAGAAGCAATTAAAACAAGAGGCTCACAAAATGAATGTGGTCTAAGAACTTAAAAATTTTTAATTTACCTATTCAAACCGTATCATTATTATTTGCTTTTATATATAAATCAGAAATAACCAATTTAAAATGGAAAATTTTAAAGAAAACAAAAGGAAAAAAAGTAAAAAAAATCCCCCCAAATTTTTTGAACCCCCTTATGATTCATCACCCCCAAACTCAATCCCAGCCTTCCCTATGTGGTACGGTACTTTGCAGTACAATTTCAGAGAGATCCATACACTTGAACACAAAGTTATTGTCTGGAAACAAGAAAAATGCTTGTTTTTTGGCCCCTTTTTGGTCCCAAATTCCTAAACGTTTAGGGCAATTACCCCCAACCTCAATCCCAGCTTTCCCCCTGTGATATGGAACCTTGTAGTACACTTTCATAAAGATCCATACACTTGAACACGTTATTGTCCTAAAACTAGCAAAATGCTTGTTTTTTGCCCTAAATTCCTAAAATTTTGAGGCAATTACCCCCAAAATCAATCCCAGCCTTCCCTTTGTGGTATGGTACCTTGCAGTACAATTTCAGAGAGATCCATACACTTGAACACAAGTTATTGTCTGGAAACTAGAAAAATGCTTATTTTTGGCCCCTTATTCCTAAAAATTTGGGCAATTACCCCCAAAATCAATTCCAGCTTTCCCTTTGTGATATGGAACCTTGTAGTACAATTCAGAAAGATCCATACACTTACACACAAGTTATTGTCATGAAACTAGAAAAATGCTTGTTTTTTACCCCTTTTTTTTTGCCCCTAATTCCTAAAATTTTGAGGCAATTACCCCCAAAATCAATCCCAGCATTCCCTTTGTGATATGGAATCTTGTGGTACAATGTCAGAGAGATCCATACACTAACACACAAGTTATGTCCGGAAGTTACAAAAATGCTTATTTTTGGCCCGTAATTCCTTAACTGTTGGTACCATAACCCCCAAAATCAATCCCAACCTTCCTTTTGTGGTATTGAACCTTAAGGTAAAATTTCATCGAGATCCATTAACTTCAACTAAAGTTAGAGTGTGAAAACCAATGTGTCTTTGGACGACGATGACGCCGCCAACGTCAACGTCATACCAATATTTTGACCACAAAATAAAAACTGCAGTTTCCTTAAAATTACCAATCTAGTGGCAGCAACCCAACAATGGATTGTTAGATTCATCTGAAAATTTAATGGCTGATAGAACTTGACATAATGAACAATTTTACCTCACATAAGATTTGCTCTAAATGCTTTAGTGTTTGAGATATAATCCCAAAACTGTATTTTACCCCTATGTTCTATTTTTAGACATGGCAGCCATGTTTATTGATGAAACAGAAAATAAAACACAAGCTTTATTCTAAATACCCTAAGGATCATTCAGCCTCAGTTTGGTTCGAATTGGTTCAGTAGTTTCAGATGAGAAGATTTTTTAAAGTTAGAAAACATGATAAACAAATTGTGTAAAATTGTCGTTAAAGTGCAATAACTCCTTAAGAGGTCCATTGACAATTTTGGTTATAAAAACTTATCTGTAGATCTTACTTTGATGAACATTTTTGCTGTTTACAGTTAATCTTTATCATTAATAATATTAAAGATAATAACCAAAAAATGCAAATATTTCTTGAAATTACCAATTAAGTGACAGCAACCCAACAATCATGACAATGGGTTATTACATTCATCAGAAAATTTCAGGGCTGATAGAACTTTGAATACCTAATGAACAATTAACTCTGTGTCAGATTTGATCTAAATGCTTTGGGTTTTGAGATAAAAGCCAAAAACTGCATTTATCCCTATGTTCATATTTAGCCATGACAACCATGTAACAAAACACAAACTTTATTGTAAATACCCTAAAGATCATTCAGCTTAAGTTTGGTAGGAATTGGTTCAGTAGAGGAGAAGATGTATGAAATAGTTTACACCCGACGGACGCCAACTGGTTGACGAAAAACAACGACAGACGACGACGGACGCCAAGTGATGGCAAAATCACACTGTTCCTTCAGAACGATGAGCAAAAAGGCAAATTTAAAAAATTGCGCTGGCTCTATCCAAAAGAGATTTTAACAGTGTAGTGTACTATTTTTGGGACAGGACATATTAACATAATAGAAAAATATATAAGCTATAACTCAAAATATGGACAATTTTATGTTTAAAGGGTCTTTAATTTAGTTTGACAACTTCACAGACATACTAATATTTGACCTTTTCAAACTATACCAAATCACTACTTAGGCCCCAAAAAATATATTGTCTGTTTAAGGTTACATACTTTTAAAAAAAGGCTAGGTAGGTCGGTATTTCCATTTTATTTTATTTTTTCATTTTATTTTTTGCGACATGATTTTGAGTCATGCCGTTTCGTCTTGTCGTGGTCTGAGTTGATCCTTGGCCAATTTTACCCGTTATTTTAATGATTTTTTCCCTTGGTTATTGGTTGGGGGAAAAAATGGCGGCAAAGTGTTTATTTCATCACATGAGTCACGAATTTCCTTATAACAGCTGTCATATTCATGATTGTGAACATTGGGATGTATCAGGCAATTGATTTATATTATTGGCAACACAAACTTCATTTTTGACACGAGTTCAGTTAATTTTTGCTTTTACGACGGAAATAAAATGACTTAGGGTCGGCGCTCAAAAGGACGGTCGGTCGGATAACCGTAAACAGACATATATTTTTGTTTGGCCTTAAGGATGTTCGCTACTCCGTTTCAAAATAACAAGCTTTTTAAAAGAATATGAATAAAGGAACTAAAAAAACAGAAAAAATGAAGGGTCCGTGTGCTTGTTTTTAAGATATAAGCCATTAAAAATTTGGCGGGAAGTGATTCTCTCTAAGATTTTTCATACACTTAACACTGGCACCTTTTTCTTTCAAAAGCTATGGAAAACTAACAAGGATTTTATAAGATTTTCAAATATGGCTTTTTAAACTATGTAATAAAAATATGAAAAGAAAAGTAGGGGTTTGTGGGGAAAATTTTTTAATGGCACTGCATAGATAAAACCAGAGGATTCCGAATATCTGGTAAAAATGTTATTCATCTGCAATAAATTTGGAAGGAGTATGAAAATAATTTGCAAGTTATACACTATATCCACACTAGACACCTAATAGAGTAAAAATAATAATTTTAATCAAACTTGGCATGAACTAAGATTAGAGAATTATAAGACAGTTTACCTAGTTTCATGGCAATAGCATATATACATTAAAGACTATAAGTTTGAACTTTGGGTGTTAATTTTTTGCCGTTTAAAGTTTAACGTTTAACTATCAAAATTTGGGCCTACATAATTTAAATATTGCAAAAAATTGCTTTTTAAATGTCTTTATAACTATTTATATATAATTGTGTGTCACATGTATGTACATAATGTATTTTAATGTAAAGCAGCTCAATACTCATTTGCTGTCTCAGATTTATTTTAACTCTTCAAAAGTCGAATTTATATGAGTCTATGCCTAAAATTAGAGATTTCAAAATTAAGCGGGGGGGAGCTGCTAATATAAAAATTCTTCATGTATATTTAAAAAATTATTTGTATTTCAAAAGGAAAGAAAGCTACTTATCTGCTTATAGCATACCACATGAGTAGAACAAGGTCCCATTAGGCCATGGAAGACTGAATAACATTTAAGGTCAATATATTAGGCAGTAACACATTTTTACATGTATATGAAAAGGCATACACATAAGCTAGAGGAAATAAAAAGTGTTTCTTTTTGGTAATTTGTAGGCTAAGGCGACATCATACAAGAAGTATGAGTGATTCTCAAACTAAAATAAAATAATTTCATCCCCCTACTTCATTGTACTTACTTTTTATGCATAAAAAATATAAATAAATAAATTTTAAAGTAATACATGGTCCACACTATGAAATCTTTTTGTAAAAAATGAAAATCAATGAATGATAACTGTGTACTTGGGCTAACAATTAAGATTTCACATGCTGAAATGTCTCGTCAGTCCAATCTCAATCAGTGAAATAAACTATTGTTTGGTTTTTTTAAAGTCATATGGAAGTAGTCCAAATAATTATGACGCATTGCAAGGCTTTTTTTCTCTCTCTCTGACGCCGTAGGAAGGAGAAGTGAGTTGACATAACATGTATGTTATCATGCAAAATCAACAGTAATGAGTATACCTTTGATTGTCATCGTCACTGCAAATGGATCATTATTACTAGGGGGAATGGAATCAATAAATTGATCGGATCCGATATGAAGTTCCCAGTAACGGAGAACCTCAAACTTTGAGGTATTATTATTAGTGTCGGTGGTCTCACAAATGAATCAGGGTGAATTGCAGGTACATTAATTAGCAGAGAATAGACAATTATCAACTTGTTATTCATTATCTCGCAGTTATTTACGGTTAATTAGCTGTATATATATCCCAAAACAGGTGCTCGGAGCTAGTACTAGTCTATCATGTCTATGACTTTTAAGTAACAATTATATTTATATTCACAATCAGTGGCGGATCGAAGGGGGATGGGATCCGGGGGTTTGATTCCCCTTTTTGTGAACGATCATTGCATTTAATCAGAGACATATATGTCTCTGATTTAATGGAGACATATTTTTCAGTGGCGGATCCAGAACTTTTTGTAAGGGGGGTGGGGGCGCTGACTGATCTAAAGGGGGGGGGGGGCCCGCTCCAGTGATTCACTATATAATCAACCAAATTTTTTCCACCAAAGGGGGGCCCAGGCCCCCCCCCCCCCCCCCCCCCCTGGATCTGCCTATGTATTAAGACCCCCTTTATCCTGGCTAGAATCGGCCCTGATATTACATGTAAATCAAGTCCCGGGTTAATTACTGTTAGCATAATATTTAGCATAACGGTAATCACAAAGAGTGTGGTAATTTTAAAAAGGACGAGGATTTATAAATATACAATTCTTGAAGAGGGGGAGAGTGCACTTCACGATGATCGAAAAAAAAGTGCCTTGCATGTTATTTTCATCATCTTGTCTGAAACAGTCTGAATAATGAGCTTCAAGGCGAAGCGCGAAAATAAGTCATGTGAAATACTAACGTTGTACGGACAAACCCTTAAATCCCTCAATGTTATGTCAAATGAATTATAGCGAGAAAAAGTAAATTTAATTTAATATCAAAACTAAATATTTGTTATATTTCGCTCCTGATTTCTCAAGAAATCATAGAATCAACCAATGTATAAATTTCAATTATGCATGTCTGTGTGAGATCCATTTCATGAGACCAAGGATTTCTATAAGAATGTAGGACAGAAAGTCACAGGACAAAAAGTCACAGACAAAAAGTCACGGACAACAAGTCACAGGACAAAAAAGTCACAATTCAGTTTTGAGATTATTTTTCTTTAAACGAGAAAACACTAATTTTAAAAATATTATTTTTGTTTTTTTCTTCAACTATTATATATGAAGCAACTTTGTAATTAAAATTTATTCAATAAATGTCAATAAGGATCAAATAATTGTTATGAAAACAAAATGTCAAAGTGGCTTCGTACTTAAATGGCTTCATTGTGCCAAGAAATATATCCTTTGCATGATTAAAATTTAATAAATTTTCATTTTTCAAGGCTTATGAACAATGTCCTAAACTTACTCAAAGCACGAAAGCGCTGTAAAGGCAGTTCATTACAGGTTGTGTGTATTTTAAATCCAGTTATATCATTATCTTGCATAGTACAGTGTACTTATCAGAGGTGGCTTTCAGTATTTAAGATTTAGAGTTCTCTAATGATATTGAATAAGTTTTATGAATGTCATATTCTGAGCACTATATGAAGGCGATTGTTCTCACTTGTTTATGAACTAGTGCATTATGTCCAGTTTGTACCTTTTTTATCTATGTTTATAGTCAAATTAGTTATCAAAGGTACCAGGATTATAATTTAATACGCCAGACGTGTGTTTCGTCTACATAAGACTCATCAGTGACGTTCAGATCAAAATAGTAACAAAGCCAAACAAGTACAAAGTTGAAGAGCATTGAGGACCCATAATTCCAAAAAGTTGTGCCAAATACGGCTAAGGAAATCTATTCCTTGGATAAGAAAATCCTTAGTTTTTTCATTGGCAATCATAACACATCTCCTTATTTATATAATGATCTATATTCAACGACCTCAGGTACAAAAAAAATGTATGTAACTAAACTATGATGGGAAACCTTTGACTTCTTTCTTTATATAAACTTTTGATTTGGTACCATAGAACTATGTAGAATAAATGTACATTGCAACATGTCAACTCTTTCAACTCCAAGAAAAATTATATTTCCAAGCATAAAGTAATTTATGAATGAAATAAAATGCTCCGCTGGGGCGCAGCTTGATACGACCGCAGAGGTCGAACCCTGAACAGTTGGGGCAAGTATGAACACAACATTCAAGCTTGATTCAGCACTGAATTTGGATTGTAATTAAATATTTGACACAGCATAGGTTTCTGACACAGAATGAAAGTGGTCTAAGATACTTAAAAAAATTTAATTTACCTATTCAAACCATATCATTCTATTTGCTTTTATATATAAATCAGAAATAACCAATTTAAAATGGAAAATTTTAAAGAAAAAAAAGGAAAAAGAATCCCCCCCTAATTTTTTGAACCCCCTTATGATTCATCACCCCAAAACTCAATCCCAGCCTTCCCTTTGTGGTATGGTACCTTGCAGTACAATTTCAGAGAGATCCATACACTTGAACACATGTTATTGTCTGGAAACTAGAAAAATGCTTGTTTTTTGGCCCCTTTTTGGTCCCAAATTCCTTAACGTTTAGGGCAATTACCCCCAAACTCAAACCCAGCTTTCCCTTTGTGATATGGAACCTTGTAGTACAATTTCATAAAGATCCATACACTAACACACAAGTTATTGCCATGAAACTAGAAAAATGCTTGTTTTTTGCCCCTTTTTGGCCCCTAATATTCCTAAAATTTGGAGGCAATTACCCCCAAATTCAATCCCAGCATTCCCTTTGTGATATGGAACCATGTGATACAATGTTAGAGAGATCCATAGACTTACACACAAGCTATTGTCATGAAACTAGAAAAATGCTTGTTTTTTGTCCCTTTTTGGCCCCTAATTCCTAAAATTTGGAGGCAATTACCCCCAAAATCAATCCCAGCATTCCCTTTGTGGTATGGTACCTTGCAGTACAATTTCAGAGAGATCCATACACTTGAACACAAGTTATTGTCTGGAAACTAGGAAAATGCTTATTTTTGGCCCCTTATTCCTAAACTTTTTGGGCAATTACCCCCAAACTCAATTCCAGCTTTCCCTTTGTGATATGGAACCTTGTAGTACAATTTCATAAAGATCCATACACTTACACACAAGTTATTGCCATGAAACTAGAAAAATGCTTGTTTTTTGCCCCTTTTTGGCCCCTAATTCCTAAAATTTGGAGGCAATTACCCCCAAATTCAATCCCAGCATTCCCTTTGTTATATGGAACCTTGTGATACAATGTCAGAGAGATCCATAGACTTGCACACAAGTTATTGTCATGAAACTAGAAAAATGCTTGTTTTTTGCCCCTTTTTGGCCCCTAATTCCTAAAATTTGGAGGCAATTACCCCCAAAAATCAATCCCAGCATTCCCTTTGTGATATGGAACCTTGTGGTACAATGTCAGAGAGATCCATACACTTACACACAAGTTATGTCTGGAAGTTACAAAAATGCTTATTTTTGGCCCCTAATTCCTTAACTGTTGGTACCATAACCCCCAAAATCAATCCCCACTTTCCTTTTGTGGTATTGAACCTTATTTTAAAATTTCATTGAGATCCATTCACTTAAACTAAAGTTAGAGTGCGAAAACTAATGTGTCTTTGGACGACGACGCCGGACGACGATGATGCCAACGTCATACCAATATACGACCACAAAAATTTTTTTGCGGTCGTATAAAAAGGAGTTCTTAATTAAGAAATAAACTGATTCGCTGAGCGCAGCTGGATACACCCGCAGAGGTACTACCCTGAACAGCTGGGGCAACAATGGACACAATATTCAAGCTCGATACAGGTCTGAATTTGGATTGTAATTAAATGTTTGACATATTATAGTTTCTGAATAAATGTAGTCAATGAACTTGAAATCGGTTATATGAATTGAATTTATATTCAATTAAAGAGTTCTTGCTGTTGTGCAATACACTGTGCTGTTGTGCAATACTTAATAAATCTGTTGCCAGACTATAAACAAATAAAGTTCAATTTCTTCTCAATGTCATATTTGAAATTTATGAAAATCAATAGGGAGATTACATCAATAGCTATAAATAATTCACCAAAGTTTCATGTGAACTGCTTAAAGCATTTTTGAGTTGTTGTCCAAAAACTGGAAAATCCCCCCTTTTTTAATGAATAAAACCCCATAACTCAGAAATGTAAAATCTAAAATTTATAAAATTCTAAAGGGAGCTTACGGATTGATAATTTAGTCTTAGATGCAAGATTTTTTTATCAGTTGTTAGTGGCTTTGAACTAGCTGTTAGTAACTGCGAGTACTCTCAGATTTGTACTTAGTGTCTTTTTGTTGTTTGGATGTACAACTACCCGACCACGTCCACTTGTATTTGTATTTATCCATCTGATGAGTTTAGCCTCTTTCAACTGATTTTTATAGTTCTTTCTTATATTGTACTGTTACACCACTGTCCCAGGTTAGGGGGAGGGTTGGGATCCCGCTAACATGTTTAAGCCCGCCACATTCTGTATGTACATTTTTTGTACATGTATGTGCCTGTCCCAAGTCAGGAGCCTATAAAAGTGTAATTCAGTGGTTGTCGTTTGTTTATGTGTTGCATATTTGTTATATTTGTTCATTTTTTTACATAAAATAGGCCGTTAGTTTTCTTGTTTGAATTGTTTTACATTGTCATTTCTGGGCCTTTTATAGCTGACTGTGCAGTATGGGCTTTGCTCATTGTTGAAGGCCGTACTGTGACCTATAGCTGTTAATTTCTGTGTCATTTGGTCTCTTGTGCATGTGTGGAGAGTTGTCTCATTGGCAATCATACCACATCTTCTTTTTTATATTTACATCAACAGATATAAAAAATTCACCAAAGTCAAGGTGAGACAACAAAACTTAGTTGTAAGATCTCTGAAATTTTTTACAGGGTACGAGTTTTTCTCATTGTTGGAGATTGTACGGTGACAGTAACACCTGTAA